ATTGTTTGGAGAAGAAAAGGTGAACGCTACCATGAGTCCTGTGCTGTGCCAACAGTGAAGCATCCTGAGACCATCCATGTGTGGGGTTGCTTTTCAACCAAGGGAGTGGGCTCTCTCATAATTCTGCCCAAAAACACTCCCATGACTAAAGAATGGTATCAAAACGTCCTTCATGAGTGACTTCTTCCAACGATCCATGAGCAATTTGGTGATGATCCGTGCATTTTCCAGCATAATGGAGCACCATGTCACAAAGCAAGAGTGATAAAGAAGTGGCTCGAAGATCATTACATTGAAATTTTGGATCCATGGCCCGGCAACTCCCCAGATCTCAATCCCATAGAGAACCCGTGGTCAGTCGTCAAAAGGCGAGTGGACAAGCAGAAGCCCACAAATTGTGATCAACTCTGAGAACTAATAAGGCAAGAATGGATCTCCATCAGTCAGGATTTGGCCCAGAAGCTAATATCCAGCATGCCAGAGCCAATCGCAGAGGTTATGAAGAACAAAGGTCAACACTGTAAATATTGACTCGTTATATTTTTTGCCTTTAAACCTTATGATATGCTTATCATTGTTTTTCAGTATACCATAGAAACGTGGATAAATAATCTACAAATAGTGAAGCAGCAAACTTAGCAAAACACAAAATTGATGTCACTGCCAAAACGTTTGTCTATGACTGTAGTGTTTCTACAAAAATATTAAACAGCACAACTGTTTGACAAAGACATTGATAATAATAAGTCAGTATATAAGAATGATTTCTGAAGGATCATGCGACTCTGGAGACTGGAGTAATGATGCTGAAAATACAGCTTTGCATCAAAGGAATGAATTATATTTAAAAATATATTAAAACAGAAAACTTTTTGAAGTTTGTGCTAATAGAGTTGAGTATTTTAAGTTGTCAGAGTTAAGAGTAGTTATTTTTAAAAAGAGTTTGATACTAATGCGTGACTCATTTGCTTCCTCTTTGTGTTGCAGGTTGGTTTGACCGTAAGAGCAGTGCAGAAGTACATGCTGGGGACTGACATGAGCCTCTTCACCACAGAAGACTTGGATGGCAACCCGCCCGTCCAACCCTACCCCACCATCACAAGCACCGAGCCCGACGACACATACCAGAGCCCACCCTTCACCGAAAACCTGGACCCCAACGCTCCAACCTACCAGGTGCCAATTTACTGAAACGGTGTCTAGCTAAATCCACATGCGATGTCATTGGAGTCAGTGTGGATGGCTGGCGCTGGTCTTCAAACTGAAGTGGTGTGACAATGTTCATAGGTAGTACCGTTCTGTGAACTTCTGTACAAGATTATGTTGATTGTGATTTCACTTTCGTTCGGAATATTACGTGTTAATTTATCAGCTGGAATGAAACCGTTTAAGGGTTATTAGTGTTGTTTAAAAATGAAAAAGGTTATGTTGCATGTGTTATATTTAGAGAGTTATGAAGTGCCATGCATCACAAACAATACCTTATTTATTCAGTTTCCATAATGCTGTTGGGTACTGTATATAAGTGCAATATCTGAAACATGGAATCACCAAAACGTTTGACACATTTAAGTGTTCTCCAACTAAAAGCTAGGTGGTCTTCTTAAAAAGAGGGTGACGTTTCGCTGTAGATAAGGGTGTCTTATGCATCAAAATGTGTAGAAAAGGTGTTCAGTGTTTGATTTAGTGAAGCCACTAAACGTGTTAAGACATAAAGCCTGATTTTATTTTGGAAGGAGTTTTGTAGTTTACAGTGCATGAATACTTCTGACTGTATCAAAATATAAAGATGAACTGAATCCCACTAAAAAGATTTCAAACAAATAAGGATTTTTATCAGAGCCACAATCAGTTGGCATTTTAAAATTGAGGAATACAAACATATCATTTGAAAAAAGTTAAATTGCCATTTAAAATAAATACTTTTTGAATGCATTTACAAACTTGGACAATGACACCAATTGGTATATTTTCAACATTAGAAAGAAGAAGTACAGTACATTCAAATACACTACCATTCAAAAGTCAGTAAAACATTTTGTTTTTAAAAGAAACTAATGCTTTTATTCAGCAAGGATACATTAAAATGATCAAAAGTGACAGTAAAGACATTTTGAATGTTACAAAATATTTCTATTTTAGATAAATGCTGTTCTTTTGAACTTCATATTCACCAGAAAATCCTGAAAACTATTAAGCAGCACAGCTGTTTTCAACATTGATAATAATAAGAAATGTTTCTTGAGCAGCAAATCAGCATATTAGAATGATATCTGAAAGATCATGTGACACTGAAGACTGGAGTAATGATGCTGAAAATACAGCTTTGCATCACAGGAATAACATTTTAAAATATATCAAAATACAAAAACAGCTATTTCAAATTTTAATATAGAATTACTGTTTTTAGTGTATCTTTGATCAAATAAATGCAGCCTTGTTGAGCAGAAGAAACTTCAAAAGATCTTACCAACCTCAAACCTTTTGAACAGCAGTGCATATGCCAGTATTTTACAAAATTATTTGTTTGAGACACTCTTTAGATATTCATCAGTTGGCTGTTGTTTAAAAAAAAAAAAGCTGTTTGGTGACCATCATCAGTGCTTTGTCTGATATGTGGTAGATTTTGGTAATGTTTCTGTGTAACATACACAAATGATAGTGATTGTACTTCAATACATGTAAATGGAGTATGTTTGTGAAAGTGGTCAGGGTCTTGTGTTTCCTGTACTTAACTCTGCACTCCTGTTAAAATGCCTCATGGACCAGTATTATGGGAGAGTTTTGGAGTGATTCACTGAGGTATGTTTTGCTGGATCAAAATTTGCACCTCTACAAAAGTATTATAGATGATGAAAAGATGTGAAATTAAAAGCCTTTAGTTTTTGTATTTGTACCTCATTGAAGGACAAAGTGCAAAATTTGCATCAGTAAAAATGCCTTGACCTTGTCCATGACTCTTTTAAAATACATATTGCATACTGTATCTGCAGGCAATATATCCCATTTTGTGATTGAAAGATGTACACAAAAGATTTGTCGTTGTCAGTCAGAATGTCTTCAGACTGCAGTTGTCAGACATTATGAAAATAAAGATGTTTTTCATGAGTGGATCACCTGTAATGTGCCTTTTTAATGACTCTCACACACCATTGAGATCATTCTGTTCTGAAAGCCACACCCTGTAACATTTTGAGATTTCTACATTTAAAGGAATGGTTCACACAAAAACATTTGCTTTAAATTTACTCACCAACCAAGATGTAGATGAGTTTGTTTCGCCATGGGAACAGATTTGGAGAAATTAAGCATTACACTTGCTCACCAATGGATCCTCTGCAGTGAATGGGTGCCGTCAGAATGAGAGTCCAAACAGCTGAGAAAAACATCACAATCATTTACAGGTCTCCACTTGTAAATTACCGACTTGTGAAGCGAAAAGCTGCATGTTTAAAGATGCGTTTAACTTCAAACTGTTGCTTCCAGCTAAAATACAAGTCCTCTATCCATAATGCTGTATTTCTTTCCACAGTTCTAAACAAACATGTTGGTGGATTGATGTGAGAGGACAAAGACACACTAAACAGAGATCCTTTTTTTGACTGGAGGAAGTATTATGGACTATGTACTCATATTTTGGCCAGAAGCAATGGTTTGAAGTTAAAACACCGTAATGATGGATTTGCTTACAAACACACAGCTTTACGCTTCATAAGACGATAATTGATGGACTGATGGAGTCGTGTGGATTATTTGTGATGCTTTAATCAGCTGTTTGGACTCTCGTTCTGACGGCACCCATTCACTGCAGAGGATCCATTGGTGAGAAAGTGATATAATGCTAAATTTCTCCAAATCTGTTTAAATGAAGAAACAAACTCATCTACATCTTGGATGGCTTGAGGGGGAGTACATTATCAGCATTTTTATCTCTGGGTGAACTATTCCTTCAGTTGCTTCAAATAGTTTATTGTGCTGATATATCTCAATGTTATATAGTTACAAATTTTTAAAAGAAAACTCGAGTTTGTTAAAAGTGAAAAGTAACAACTTAAGATCCAATCTAACTATCTAGAACACCACATATGTCGGATAAGGCATGTTAAAGGCGTAGCTTATTCAAATATCACCCTCCTGTTGCTTAAACGTGTAATTTCTTGCTCCTGTGGAACACAAAATGAGATGTTTGGCAGAAAGTCTCTTTCACTTTTACTGAATGGAAAGGGAATGATCACTAATGTCTTCAGTCCCTAATGACCTAATATATCCTTTTGCGTCCCATGTAATAAAGGGTGTCTTTTCTTAAAATGACAATTTTCATTTTTGTGAGATCTTTTCCTCTGAATATCTCTGTAGTATGTTGCACAAAAAGAAATTGATGAAGTACAAAGACTGGAACTCAAATAACTTCATCTAAAAGGTTGATCATGTTTGACCAGCATTTATTCTGCAGATATGTCCTGACACATCGCAAATTGTTGACTACAGAGCCATGGCACAAATAGCAGTTCCTGAAAGAGAAATGAGAAAAGGTGGCCGTACTGAAGTCTCAACAGTCATCTCTGTAGGAGTGTGAAGATATATTTAAGAGGCACAAGCACAATGGTATTTAACAAAAATCTAATCAAAAACATTTAATGAATTATCCATCTGTACTAATTGGCATTTTAGATAAAACATTCTGTAGTCTGATCCCATCTGCCAACCTTTCAAAATATCCCTCTGATTTTTCTGTATATTTGAAGACAGGTGAAACGTCCTCGCACTGATTTAATTGTGTACAGACAATCACGTGGCCTAAAGAGTACTGAGCCGTGCATTTAGTTCCCTGGCTTGATTGTTTAATTGCAAAATATTTACACAAACAAACAAACATTCAAAAATGTTAATTTGTCAAAAATCAGTTGACAGATCACTGTAGCTTACGGTGAAATGCTATATATTAACCATTTTATTTTTCTGTGCTGTAGAGTTCGTAAACAGAAATGAGAAATGAAAAAAATTCAATTAAACGGCAGGAGCATTCTGAAATAAATAGGTTATTTTTCCAAAGGCAGCCAACCTTACAATTTAATTAAAAAAAAACAAATGACCATGCTAACAGCACTGGAAAAACCTGATGAAAATATGAACTGGAGGAGTAATAAATGAATCAATGTTAGAACTTAAGCTTTCAAGTCGATTAAACCTGGTTCTCTTCAAAACCGCAACAGTTCTTCTTGCACCTTTTAGGATTGATCTTTCCCCTTTGAAAAAAGGTTGTCAAAACTTTCCGAACCGGAACAATCGGAGTAAACATTACCACTGCTGCTCAGACAAGCCCTCATCCTTTCAAGCATCTTTCCTGTGTCACAAGAGAGCCGTGGATGTGCGTCTGCTGGCAGCTAGCTGATAATCTTGCTTATGGCCTGTAAAGAGGGGAAGTCATCATCGCCGATGTGTAGGGTTTTATGGGTGTTGAAGTCTTTCAGAGCCAGCACCTGCTTACAGGTGGGACACACTTGGCAGTCCAGCTCCAGGCTGTTGCTGGTGGTGCCTGTCTGCCAGGCTTTCTTTTTGTTTTTTTTGGCCTTGGAGCCTTGCTGCTGTTTCTCAAGTGCCTTAAAGTCTCCGTGGGCAGTGAGAAGCTCCTGTTGCTTGCGAGTGTCTGGTAGGAGAACCAGCAGCTCGTTGAAGACCCTGTTGAAATTCTCTCCCAACAGCTCCTGGCAGCTTTTGTAGTACTGGACAGCAGGTATTATACCCTGCTCAAGAGGAAAGAGTTTATTAATATCCAATACAGGACAAATATTAGAGATCAATGGAACAATATTATTATGCAGGAGTAATATCAACTACCATAATATAACACTGGATAAAAAAAGATAATTGAAATGATCTTGGTTTGATAGGTACCTGTCTAAATTGGCCTGAATAGTTTTTGAACTCATTGAACTTGGTTTCATCATTTTGAAGGAAATTCTTAATAGACTGAATAAGGTCCATGTTTCTCTGCTGGAAATGTTCAGGTATGAGGTAGGCTCCAATAGCAGGTGTCACTCTGAAAGAAAACACAATGCTTAATGAGATAAAACACTTAAATCACTTCTTTATTTTACATGAAATAATGATCAATTAATAAATTAGAATTTTGGTGAATTTTAAACTATTATCGGTTGTCAAATTTGAATATTTTTTCAAATGTAATGTATTCCTTTAATGGCAAAGCTGTATTTTCAGCATCATTACTCCAGTCTTCAGTGTCACATGATCTTTCAGAAATCATTCTAATATACTGATTTGCTGCTCAAGAAACATTTCTTAATGTTATCTTGTAATATTATTTAATGGAAGTGTAAGGTAAAATAAATGTACATCAAATGTTTAATTTCAGCAATTATTTGTATATACAGAGACCCAAAAATGGTGCAATATAGAAAATATTGTTAAACAATAAGATTAAGAGTATCTGTACATTTTCTGGTTGTCAAATAAAGTTTGTAATAAATAAGATGAACTGTAACTGTGGCTACACTGATATGACAGCTGAACTTCAGGAGAACTGCCAAAAAATAAAAAATAATAATAAATTATATTAGGGCACTTTATCAACATTCTCTCCGATACTGGCTCTGTAACATTAAGACTATTAAAAAAAAGAAAAGAAAAAAAAAAAAAAAAAACACTGGTTGACATCTATCACAAATAGTCAACTTTCATATACTCAAAATATAACAATGACTCAAACGGAACACCCCCCACATCACGTTCTCTAACCTATTAACAGCAGGCATTGATGATTCCACTACATTACTGTTGAGCGGGACGCCAGTGAATCCTGGGGGAGGTTTGCTGACAACAGGCCCAAGGCCAGGAGGAGGAGGCGGCAGCACACTCTGAGTGCTCTTCAATGGAAATGCACTTTTAAAGCCTGAAAACACAAGTAAGCACTTATGAGCAATGTCATTTTGGGCACTGCCTCTTTTAGGAAAGGAACCCGCTTACCAGGTGGAGGTTTTCTGGAGATAAGAGCAGGAAATTCCTCCTCCTTGGGTGGAGGAGGTTGGTCGGTTATCGGCTGCTTTCGAGAGGAAGGGATATTTTCAGGAAATGATGTACAGGACAGTGCTTCTGCTGGCTTCTCTGTGAGTCCATTAATAAAAGAGTTTGTTTTGGAGGGGAGACTGTTGTCTGGTGGCTTTGTCTCAGGAACGTTCTCTTTGTGAGCCATTTTGGACACGGACTCGGGAGTGTGTGAGGGAGAATCCAGAGATGAAGTTGTGGCATGCTTCTTTTTCTTATTGTTTTTGGCGTTGGGCTGAGATGAGCCACCTTTTACCGTCAACAAAGTGGAGATGTCAAGCATAGTCGGTACCGTGCGGATCTCCTGAGCTGTTTTACCGGTCTGGGGGTCCTCGTCATCCGATGAGGACGGACATTTGATTTTAGGTGGAGCTTTGTGGGTTTCAGTGGAGGTGAGCTTCTTTTTGCGGCGAGATGAGGAGGCAGTGAGAGGCTGAGGCACACTTCCACTGGGCAGCGGGTCACTGGCGGACAGTATGGATGAAGACACCGTAGGAGCTGTTTTGGTGGGCAGAACCACAGGTTTATTGGAAACCACCACAGGTTTGCTTCCGGCTTGAGACCAGGCTGATGTGGTGTTTGATTGAGGCTTCAGTGGTTTGATCTTGGAGACCAGTGCAGGAAAGTCCTCCTCCTGGAAGGACGAATGTTTCTTGGGTTGACTTGTGTATGCAGGTGTCATTGGAGCGGAAACAACTGAGCAAGACAAGCTTGGGAAATCATCTTCCTTCAGAGAGACAGAAGTTTGTTTGATCTTGCTGCAATGATAGGGAGACATTGTAAAATACTGATCTGATTCAATTAAACTCAATGTTTGATACCAGATTTTTAATGCTTGCCCATGATGCTCAAATCTTTCTTGCTGTTGCATATACCCACCACCATGAGCCCACTCAATCTCAAATCAGATCATTTGACCTGCAGAAATAACTTGAGTCCAGGGATGTTCATTTAGTTTTTTTTCCTAACCGACGCTCGTTAACCGATTTTTAACCATTAACCGACAAGTTTATTTAAAATAAGAATTGAATTAAATTAGAAAGGATAAGTTTCTGTGACCCGTTAAAATACTAACATTTGTTTCCCGGGGATTAATTTTACATGCGCAAAAAGCAGCAAACAACAGAACATGAGGATTCACATGGTCTTCATATCACATCGCACCTGCAGCGCTTCTAAGAGTGGAGAAAAACATAATAAAGCTAGGCTGTGTATGTATGTATGTATATATATATATGCGTGTATGTATGTATATACAGTGGGTACGGAAAGTATTCAGACCCCCTGCATGAGGATTCACATGGTCTTCATATCACATCGCACCTGCAGCGCTTCTAAGAGTGGAGAAAAACATAATAAAGCTAGGCTGTGTATGTATGTATGTATGTATGTATATATATATATGCGTGTATGTATGTATATACAGTGGGTACGGAAAGTACTCAGACCCCCTTAAATTTTTCACTCTTTGTTATATTGCAGCCATATGCTAAAATCATTTAAGTTAATTTTTTTTCCTCAATGTACACACAGCACCCCATATTGACAGAAAAACACAGAATTGTTGACATTTTTGCAGATTTATTAAAAAAGAAAAACTGAAATTAGGCCTATTTCTGAATGAAAGAATAAAATGCGACTTGTACGCAATTTGTTTTTTTCTCTCTAAAAAAAACAAAAAAACAATTTGTTTTACACGTAGCGTATTTTAACCATGCAGCAAACCTTTTTTAATATTTTGATAAATTACTGAAAAAAAATAAATAAATGACTATTTAAACTGTTTAACTGATTGTATTAATCGGTCAAAATTCTTGCGGTCGGTTAACCGGTTAAAACGAACATTTGTGTCTGCTCTCTGACATCATTTCCTGATTTGTTCTGCATATTTTTGCATGTTGATTGCACCATACTACTTTGATTTGGCAGACATAATAAAAGATTACGCCAAAGTACCTAAGGATTAATTTTTACGAATTCAGAGGCCCCTTTCTTTCATTAAGATTACATTTTGAATTTATGCCCATTTAAATACAAAAACAAATCAAAACAGAGAAATATTAAAAACATTGAAAGCAGTGTATGTTTTGCATGTTGCTTCCACCACATGACTATGATTTGAAGGACAAAAGCAATTTTTATGAAATAATAATGATTTTAGATTTTAGTTAGTTTAGCATTATTTATATAATATTATTTAAGACGGTTATATCAGCCTGACATTTTTGACTTTATGCCTCCCCAAAAACTTTTCTATACATTTCAATAGAGACATTTAATAAATAAATAAAATATATATATTTCACAGAAAGCGATGCATTTACATCACTGAACAAATCTGAATTAATACATCTGGACAAAATAGATCATCAAGAATGCAAGCACTAATAAAAAACAAATTATATTAGCATTCCTTCATGGAAAAAACAAAACAAAAAGGTGACCATCTTACTAAAAACAGGACAAACATACCATTGAATAGGGGCTGGAGGTGCAGCTGCCCCTAAAACTGGAAAGTCCTGACCAGCCAAAGAGGCATTACTCTTCACTGATCGAGCTGAAATATATTCAAACGTGCAATTTCATCAACTTCCAAAAGAAATAAATATATAAACATACAATAATTTACCATATTTTCGACTGCCATACCTTGCATTTCGTTCGTCTGCTTGGCAGTGCCTCTGCTGTTTCTTATGTCATCAGGCTCCATCTTTTCTTCTTTGCGTGGCTTCTGAATACTCCTCTCTTGCACATGGCTTCTCTCTTCCTGGTGGCTGGCCATCGAGGCTCGCAAAGCAGCAGCCATTTCTCGGTCCTCTTCCTCGCTGAGGACAACAACTCTCTCAGTCTTCCATGAGCTCTCTTGCATGTTAGAATGCAGTACTGATGAGGACCTACCGATTATATCTCCAGCTCCTGACATTCTGCTGTCCTCCAGGAGCTCGTCCTCTTCCTGGTCTTCCCTGTCTGTTGAAGCGATCCACTTCCCCATAGTCATCGCCACCAACTATTAGACCTAAAAAAAAAGACATCCAAATGGGCTTGATTAAGGCATTCGGCCCCTAAATTATATCCAACTCGCAGAAAGAGCAAATTCAGCTTTACCGTCATTTCTTCGTTGCTGTCTGTGTGCATAGTTGAACTGAATGTCGATTTGGCGATTCTGCCGTGCCTCAGCCCGGTTTTTGCTGTGGGCAGCAGCTTTGTGAGCCTTATAGTCAATCTCTGTGCGGAATGCGTGAGTGAACTGCTCTGTACTGCAGCGGCCCTCCACACAGAGATAATGGCTCTCTCTGAAGTGCTCGCTGAGGTACTGGTAGTCACTATAGGACAAAAATAAAAGTAAATTTTAAATTAAAGTACATTTAAATGAAGTAATAATGATTTTGTAGCTCCGCTGACACTAGTAGTGCCCTATGATTGCTATGCTGCAGAAAACATGGACGGAATTGCAGAATCCAGTCAAAAATGGAATGTATAACACGGGAGCTGCTATATAAAGATATACTGAAGTATATTTTATTGCGGTAAAGTGGAACTATTGCAAATATACTTCAGGTACACTTTAAATATCTTGCATTTAAAGACTGATACTTGACTAGGGTAAGTTTCCTCATTTCAATAAATCTTATATGATTTTTTTTTTATTACCAAAAATGTTGCTTAACCATTAAAGCCGAGTCTAGAGAAATATAAAAAAGGGAAGAGAAAACCCCCACAGAAACCAGAAAACTTAATCCGGAATTTGGGGGGGGAAAAAACCCAAAATGGATTTCATATAGGCCCTACACTAGGTTCACAACCACTAATTTTCATTTACATGCTTAATTATTTTAGGTCTACACCACCCCTTCCAATCTGATTGAAAATTTCATTCATTCAGCTCAAATGGATGGATTGAGGTGTTTACATGAAAGGCTTTTAGTCAGATTGAGCCATCAACTAGGTGTATGCAAACATAGCCACAGTGAGTTGCACCTGGAAATAAACAAATGTTAAGAAGTAAAAAAGTGAACCTTTTACCTGTAATACTCCTGAGCTCCATCTGCATCACAGAAATGGCAGAAGTAATGATCTCGCCGCAGGTGCTTCAACAGCTCATCGTTGTCCAGGTATCGATCGTCGCAGAATTTACAAAGCGGATGCCCACGATGTGAAGTATCATCCGGGTCCCCTTGGGTTCGATGACGAGCCAGGTCTTTCCGATTGTACCATTTCCGCTCGTACGAGAATATCTGTACATGGAGCAAACTATTACTTGTAGGAATAAGGAGTGTGCAAACGAAATAATAATTAATTAAAATGCAATACTCTACCTTCAGGTGCTTTGCACATAACTTGCAGCAGAAGAGTTCATGTTGTTTTCGCATATGTTGCTCTAATTCTTCAAATTTGGAGAACACTTTTGGTTCTGGGCATTGTGGACATTCATGTAACAAAGTCTTCCTGCATTTGTTGTAAAAGATAAAAAGAGTTTGTAAGCAAACTTCAAATATTGTTGTAAACTGCCGAAAGATAACGTCAGTTGTTTACACTGTCCATTTCAATTAGTTGATTCAAAACTAATTCAACTCATGTCAACTTCTAAAATGTCACAAAGTTCGTAATTTTTTATAGATTCAAGTATTCTCACAACATAAATGTAGGTAAATATTACAGCTTATTATTGTGAACTGTTACATATTTGTCATAATACAATGTGTTTTGGTAGCATAGTTTTTAAATATATTTTCCCTTGTGATTCTTCCGGGAAAAAATGTGGGACTCCAGCCTTGATTATTTTCAACAGAATTCATCTTGTAATTTTATAAATACATTAAATCTTTTCAATCTAAAATGAATGTTCAGTTAAAAAAAAAAAATACTGAGCAAATACATTAATATATATTGCATATTGTCGAAAGGCTAAACAAAACGGAGATAGTAATATATATATTTTTTTAAAGTTCATACCTGAACTGTGCATACATCTTTCCATCTGCAAAATATATGTCATACTTCTTCTCACACTGATATTGATGAATGTGAAGAGCGGCAAAGGGTTCAGGTTTCTTTATGAAGACCACCTGGAAAATTAGAATAAATAAATAAATATTTTGTTTAATTACAGAAGAGACATTTTTTAAAGAATGGAAGACTTCCTTACAGAGCATGAACAACGTTGTCAATTAAGCAAAAAGTTCTAAAAGCAAAATATTTGACATTTTCAGGCTTGCTGATTAATGTAACGTTAACTCTCGACTGTCGCGTCTCACGGTGACAGGCTGTCAGAGAAAGCACACGTCTAGCAGATTCTAATGGAGTTATCTGAAACTGATTACATTCTGCTGAGCCTTCCCAAAATCATGTCTAATTACATATATATATATATAAACACTTTGAACTTTGTTCCTGATACATACTTGCCTGTCATATATGCTAACCCACGTAAAGTAAACGACACCGTGAAGGAACAGCGTGTCACGGGAAACGTGAGGTAATAACTCACCACTTCTACACTAAACCAGCTCACTTATAAACTACAATCAAAAGAAGTCAAACAACTGCCTCAAGTTAACTTCTGAAAGACACACCTGAGCTAAACGTTCTCTTGACAACTCATCTACATTGCTAGCGACGCGACAAGCACGGCCGCTCCTCTTACAAACGGACTCGCTGGTGCACCGGGAGCGGTGTAGTGCTGTTTGCTGTGTGTTTCTATGGTGTGTAAAGCAGCCGAGGCCTGCGCTCGCTGCTGGAGGAGGAGAGGCGGCGGCACCTTGTCTAGCTGCTCCCGGCAGACGGCGCAGTATTTCTGCTCGCACAGCACCCGCATCTTGGTGGAGCAGCGGTAACACACCGGGTGATCGCATTTCCCCACCGCGAACATGTCGATGTCCTGGCAGCACAGCACACATGTGCTCTCCGCGTCTTTCTTCGGGGTGTATTCCATACTGAGAGAAGGCACTGGCTGTGTGTGCTCGCGTTTTCTCGGTATGATCCGTATGGATTTGCAGGGCTTGTAAAACGACAGTACGGGTAGCGAGGCCGGGCGAAGCGCGCTCCAGTGTGCGTAATCGTTCAGCGCAATGCATTATGGGGACCAATAGCCGTAGACAGGAAGAGCTTTTATTATGACGCACCGGACTTTTATACCGCATACCTTGCGTGAATTAAATGCTAATGATATGATAATTCTATTAATATGATTGATTATTATAAAGATGAAGAAATACGTGCTTATATTAATATTAAAATAATATAATTATATCAATACACTTTAATTAGATGAATTAATAAACAAATATAATAAACAATATTACGCATTATTAATATAGTTGTTGTAATAATAATAGCAATAACAATAGTGTTCATTATATTAATATTAAAATATTATAATTATATCAATATGGGTTAATTAAATGATTTAATAAAAAATAATTTATTAAACTATGATTTATTATACATTAACTTTTGGCCCATTTCATCTCATAAAACAATGGACAACATAATTTTTTAAATAATATATTGACTTGATATATAGTAAAATAATTTATAATAATTACCAAAATAATATTAATATTTAATAACATTAAACGTTCTCATTTTGTTCGCATTTTGTTATCATCTCTGTTACTCTGTGTTATTTTACATACAGTATCTCACAGAAGTGAGTACACCCCTCACATTTTTGTAAATATTTTATTATATCTTTTCATGTGACAACACTGAAGAAATGACACTTTGCTACAATGTAAAGTAGTGAGTGTACAGCTTGTGTAACAGTGTACATTTGCTGTCCTCTCAAAATAACTCAACACACAGCCATTAATGTCTAAACCGCTGGCCACAAAAGTAAGTGAAAATGTCCAAATTGGGCCCAATTAGCCATTTTCTCTCCC